TCTAGTACAGTAGAATCAACAGACCTAGAGTGGAATCTTCTGAATCTTACTGGCCTTAGATCTTGGGCAAGTCTTTAATCTCCCTCAGACAACTTCTCAGTCTAGTAGTGTGGATTAAACACCTACTACTTAGGGGTTCTATAAGAACTAAACGACTATAAACAGAGATTCATTTAGCCTGAACAAAATACAAAATATGAGTATAAATATATATTAATTAGTACACTTCCAGAAAGATATTTCCTTAATTACTCTTTATAACAGCACTGTGCTAACTATCCCTTCCTTTAAAGGTCCTCTAAAGACAGTAAAGATATGGGGTATTTCTTCCCTCTCTGAAGATGGCAATTGGGAATAACTTGCTGACCCACTAGGCCCTTACGTCTGGATACTGGTCACTCAGTTGCAGTAGAACAAGTGAGTCTTCTTCACAACTTTAAGATCTCTAAATCTGATAGAAAAAGTCAAGAGCCTTCAAGTACAATCAAACTGAACTTGTTCTAAAGGATAAAAGATGAACTGTTCAACATTTGAAAGCATTTGAGATTATGACTACTGCCTTTGACAAACTTAGATTACCAGATGATCAAAACCTGTCAAAAACCTGGGGACCAGAGAGATAGCTCAGTAGTTAAGGGCATTTGCTGCCCTTGCACAGGACCGGGTTCATTTCCCAGTACTGACCTATATGGCTCATAACCACCTATAATTCCAGCTCCAGGGTCTTTAGCAGTCTTCTGGCTTCTACAAATACTAGGCACACGTGTTACACAAACAAATGCAGGCAAAACACTCATACAGACAATTTTTTAAAATCTTTTTTTAATGACAGAAATTATTTAAAATAATATGAGGAATGAGCCTAAGAACAAAAGCAGAACAGTCTTCTGAAATCAAAGACTGCCAAGATTTTCCTTACAAAGGAAAGCTTGCTACATACCATTTCCTTTTAACCCCTTAGATACTCATTTCATTGTTGTGATTTTCCTATGATTGTGGGTTTGTTTAGTTTTCAGTAGGTTCATTTGCCTTACAAAACTGTTAAAATCCAAGATTCTTGTCTGATACTATATTGACACAAATAGTAATCATACACACATCCACCCACTTAGACCAGATAGTGCTGCCTGCAAACAGACTTGTATACTCAGAATCAGAGGCTTCTTATATTTCTCCTGTAGAAAGAAAGACTCCTATGACACTATCAAAATTACCTAGAAGTTCTTAGTGGTAATTACTGACTTCTTTCCTGTGTATCTTCATGACGTCACCATGAAGACTCTGAGACCAACGGTGCCACAGACCAGGAACCAGCTCTAGGAAGTGATAAGCAGGAACTTGGAACCTTTCCTTGTTTACTGAACCAACAAGCTTCCATTATTATTTTTTTTAACCAAAATTTTTAAATTTTTCCAAATTTAATCCTAAATTTGTAATTACTTTTTCCTAGCAAGTTCAATGATTTACATCACTGTAATGGTTAATCTTAGTTTTCAATTTGACTGGATCTGGAATAAACTAAAAGATTAGCCATGAACAATATATAAAGGATTTTCTTTTTTTTTGGGGGGGGGGGGGGGGCGAGACAGGGGGTCTCTGTATAGTCCTGGCTGTCCTGGAACTCACTCTGTAGGTCAGGCTGGCCTCGAACTCAGAAACCCGCCTGCCTGTGCCTCCCAAGTGCTGGGATTAAAGGCGTGCGCCACCACCACCCAGCAAGGATTTTCTTGATGAGGTTATTTGAAGTGGAAAGACTCACCCTAAATTGTAGGCGGCATCTTCCAGTGTCAACCAGATAGGCAGTCCAAGGGGAACAGCTTGCTTTTTAAAGCCTTATTTCCTTCACACTTCCCTTATGAGTTTGATCACCCTGTCAGTGAGTGCATGAGTCTATCTACCTACCCTATTGCTGCTGCTCCTGCTCTTGCTACATTTCTGCCCTGCTGTCAGAACCCTTTGTTGTTGAGATTCCAATATGGACTAAAGGCCAATGGCTCTCCAGGAATCCTCCAGATTGTCAGCACCAGGTTGGGTCTGCTGAAGCATCCAGCCTCATGGACTGAGCAGCTACCAGGTTCTCAACCTCTTCACTGTAAGAATAGCTATTGTCAGACTACTCAGACCTTACGTAAAGCAATCTGACAAACTCCCTTTTAGTAGCTATATTCATTCTATTGACTTTATTCCTCTAGAGAATCCTGACTAGTAACAATGACTAATATTTGAAATACTTATAAAAATTCCAGAAACCACTCAACAGAACTATTTTAAACAAATAACTATACAAAAATAAACCCTTTTGTGTAAAAATATGTTAACTAGATATAACTATTCCTCTTATTTAGTGTCTTGAAGCTTTTCCTACCTCTAATGTTTGAAGGAAAATACTAAGACTAGAAACTTTAGATTTGTAAGATCAATGGTTAGAAATTAGACAATGCCTATTCAAATGCCCAAAAGTTCAAACAATGATATTACATTAAATTTCATGCTTAAAGCAAGAATAATATCATATCAGAAGTCTGCTCTTGTCAGAAGACCTGGTAATACTAATACCACAGCTAAGAGACTCTATATCAAAGTATATTGGGTTCTCGATACGTTGCAAGAAGAAAACCTCAAACATCATAAAATGTACTATCATGGAAGGTTATTTAGGCTAAAGAACTAGATGCCTTTACATATTTGCAAAGAGAATCAGAGACATGTATCTCATTGATCCTCAGGGGAAAACTACCAAAAGGTTAAAAAACACATTAAAAAAAAAATACAGACTTTTATTTACAGATCTGAGACTGCTGGGTGAGACAGCTCAGCGAGTACAAATATTTGCCATCAAGTCTGACACCTGGGACCCACAAGATAGAAGGAGACAACTGACACCTGAAAGTTGTCCTCTGACCTCTACAGGCCCCTCCCCCCAAACAAACAAACAAATAAACATAGACAAACAAACGCAATAAAAATCTGTTTCGTTTCTACTATGTTAACCTCAAAGGTCAATAAATATTGAGGGAAGAATTGTATAAAATAAGAAAATTAGATTCAAGAAACTTGGGCATATTGGAAAGCCCTGAGGGAAAGTTTCTGAGCTTATCTTACATTCCTATTGTTGTGAAAAAACACCATGATACAAGCGTGAAGGGATGAAAGGAGTTTTTTCATCTTAAAACTTTCAGGTAAACTGTCCATCGGGAAGAGAAGTCAGGACAGGCCTGGAGACAGGAACTGAAACAACATTACTTACTGGTTTGCTCCTAGTGACTTGCTCAGCCTGCTTTTGTACAATCCAGGACCACCTACCTGGCCCACAGTAGCACTGCCCAGGGTGAGCTAGACTCTCCCATCTCCATCATCAGTTTAAGAAATGCCTAACATTGCCGGGTGGTGGTGGTGCGCGCCTTTAACCCCAGCACTTGGGAGGCAGAGGCAGGTGGATTTCTGAGTTTGAGAGTTCGAGGCTAGCCTGATCTACAGAGTGAGTTCCAGGACAGCCAGAGAAACCCTGTCTCGAGAAAACAAACAAACAAACAAAAACAAAGAAATGCCCAACAGGTGTGCCTACAGGCAATCTGATGGAGGCATTTTCTCAACTAAGGTTCTTCCCAGACAACTCTAGCTTCTGCCAAGTTGTCCACCCCCTACCCCTCAAAAAAAACCTACCCAGAACAAAGCTTCTGTATAAACCACAAAGATTAGCAGTGAGTTATTCCCACAAATATGATCAACTTCCAATTTTCTCATAACAGGAAGACAAGAAGTATGACTAGTTCTGAAAGTTGTGCTTGATACAGAATAGTCAGCAGTGATTAAGATATTGCAAACTTATAGATAAGTTAACAGTCTATTCAAAGTAGTGGCCATCAGAATAGAAATTCACAGTAACCAATGATTTATTCAACTCTTGGAATACAGTATTTAACAGAACTTTGTCAGGCTGGCCATTCATTCACTAATGACAAATATAGTAACAAATACACACTGCTTAACATATGTCAAGACATTGTCCTAAATATTTTCCAGAGAGTAACTGGCTTCATCCTAACACAATATGTGAAACACTTCATTTTATAACCATCTCCATGTTACAGAAAAGAAACTACAAGCATCCATCAGTTAAGTTATTCTGCCAATACATTAAAACAAGACAAAAAAAAAAAAAACGACAAAAAACTGTTAAGATGTTAGATTAAAAAAACAAAAACAAACTTAGCCACAAGTGTGAACCCTAAACCTAAAATGTTACGGCCATAAAGAAAACTGCAAAGCCCAAGGAAGGCAGTGGCACGATGCAGTAATAATGTCAAGAGCCAGTCCATCCATGAGCACCCGTGAGGAAGACCACACAATAAAGCTACGTGGGAATTTTCCTGTCAGAATCACACGAAGTGTTTGTTTAAGGAACTGTTTAATCCATATTGAATTCAGATCCCTACAGATGGGACTATAAAAGCATTTTCATTTTAATATTTTGCTAAAAAGTAAAAACAAAAAGGCCCAAGTAATTCTGGGGTGACACCAAGTCTGAAAACTTCTGTAAAAGGTCTCCTCTCGCTTTAGCATTCCAGTTGATATTGTAAATTAAATCCCCAGAAATGCAGGAAGGGCCCCTAGCACCAGAGAAACTGTTACACATTTAGAAAACCCCCGCCGTTCGCTGCTTCTGTTTTTACCTGAACCAGCCTCAAAGAAACAAGGATGGAGCAAGCAACTGAATAACGGATACGGCGGCTCCCACGCCCTGGCTAAACAGCGGGCTCTTCCTAGTCTTTTCTATTGCTATCAACAGAAAGACACCCTTCCAGGCCCGACTGGATTATAGAGCAGAGTCCTTGGGTCCGATATCTAGCTAACAAAGAATGCCAATAGGCTCTTTGCTCCGTGCCCGACAGGGTTCTCGGAAGCGGCTCGGTCGGGGCCTGCCTGCTCTCCAGTCAGGTAAACCCGGCTCCGCCAAAGCAAGGAGCGCAGCAATTACTCCCTCCACGTCCCGCGCCTACCCGAGGGTCCTCTGGTCAGGTTGATCTCTTCCTCCGTGACTAAATAATCCACCCGTCCGTTCATATCTCACTGCTCTCCGGGCGGAAACCAGGGGTCAGGAGGGTGCCCAGCGCAGGTGAAGGTGAATCAAGCTCCGCGCCGCCTCCCCGGCATAGCTTTTACAGTTTCCTCAGCTGCCAGACCGGAAAAGGAAACCGTGGGCACTGGGAACGTGGAGGATGCTGGGAGTGGTGGTTCTCTGAACCCACCAGCGTTTTCCGGTACTTCGCACTGTTCTCAGGGCAGATCCTGAGGTGCCATGAGTAAAGAGAAGTATGATGCCCGGTTATATTTGGAAGAGCATGGAGGAAGGAGGTCACGGAGTGAGGGTAATAATGGTATGAGACATAATTAGATTGATACTGTTGACATTTTAAATAAAAATCTCAAAATATCTACGTGTGTGTGTGTGTGTGTGTGTGTGTGTGTGTGTGAGAGAGAGAGAGAGAGAGAGAGAGAGAGAGAGAGAGAGAGAGAGAGATCTTTTATCTTATGAGCCTCTCTGGGAAAGGCATTGTGGGCAAACTACTAATGAGATTGCGTATTTGAGTGAGAAATTGTAACCTTTTGTGTAATATACACGCAATCCAATGTAATGCCCCATGTAAGAAAACTTGATAACATGCTTCGAGTTCTTTCCTTAGCAGTTCACTGTGTTAGTTAATAGAATATATCCAAATGAGAAAATGAAACACCTATCTCTCTCCCTCTCCCCCTCCCCCTCTCTCTGATATTTATGTACCAGAGCTTTGCTTCTCAGGACCTTATAGGCAAGAGTTCCTGGCTTATAGCTGACACGACTCTTACTTAACTTTTAAAAAGATGTATATATCCCTGGCTTGCATCTAATAACAGGCCTATCTAACTTAAGAAATGTGTACACATAAAAGATACAGAGAAAAAAAAAATCATAGGCTTGTTCAAGAAAAATCCTCCAAGCAAAAGGAGCTGAAATGTCCTTATTTTGACAAAAGGACTGCAGGACTTAAGATGTGACTTTCCAGCCATCTTGAATTTTAAGATAGGAAATTCTAAACAGAGGTGAAGGAACTTTCAGGACTCAAAAATACAAAGGCTTTAAAGACCTGGAAGGTGATCATAAATGTGTATGGTTGTTAGACTTTGGTGCGCAGCTTGGAACAGACAACACCAGACCAAATGGTTCCAAAGGGGAGGGGGTTTATTCAGGGCAGAGGGTAAAGGTAGGGAGAGAAACTGGAGAAGATGGTGGAGAAAGAGGAGAGAGAGGAGAGAAGAGAAGAGGAGGCCGGCCATGACCACGTGGAGAGTCGGGGAAGGGAAGAGAGAAAGGGCGAGGAGAAGCTAAAGGCAAGAGAGTAAGAGAGAGAGGAGGAGGCAAGCAGCCCCTTTTATAGTGGGCATGCCTACCTGGATATTGCCAGGTAACTGTGGGGAGGAGCATACCTGGGTGTTGCCAGATAACTGTGGAGGTGGAGTTTTAGACAGAATACTAGCATTCCCACGTTTTGGTTTAATTCAAAAGAAAAATTAGAAAGAGGTGACGGCGAAGCAGGAATAGGGTCGTCGTGAAATCTGGCTACTTCCTGCTGGCATTGAGGGTGACATGTCTTTAGGGGGAACCTAGAAGAGTGGGTATGGGGGTTGTTTGTCCGGTCTTAGGAGAGCTAGCTGTTTCCTGCTGTCCAGGTTCTATGGAGTGAGCCATCTGAGAATAGGTCAGAAGGAACAGGTCCAGTAGAAGCAGCTGTGTGCGTGACAGGAGATGGATCATCTGGAGGTTGCTTCTCTGGAGCTGTTCTGGATGCACCTGGACTTGACAAGATGTAGGAAATAAGATTAAGAACACCTGGAGAAAGAAATTTTTTCTAAGATGTACATTTGAAACCCAGAGGGATCCCACCCTTTGTTATAGGTAGTGAGTGGGAGATGTACTTATCTGGATGGCATCTATTTGGTCTGTCAGAGGTAGATCTGAGTGGGTTTCCTGTAGCTTATAAGTTTACAAAACAGATAACAGCATGAGTTAACAACACAAGCAGTCTCTAAGATGAACTTTTGTTGGATGGTATAGTGGAATATTTTAGAGTTAAGCAAGTTTATAGGAACCCAGATAATTTAGGACAGTGGGATAGTAAGAGGAGGAAATATGAAGCATTTAATTGATGGCAACTGAGTTTAGGTAATGAAGTAACAGATAATATCTGTGAAAGCTTAGCTGTCAATGTAGTCAGAAGTCTGATAAAGAGTAAACAACAATCTACCAGTTATATATTATTTTTAAAAAGTGACAGAGTCCAGTAGCCAACAGTTCCCATGGTTTCCATAGTCTCTTGGGAGAAGTCAGTTTGGCTTCCAAGCTCAGAAAACACAGGGCTTTTTCTCTGTGGAACGGATATGCGTGACATGAGAAATGACTTACCTTGGTGTAGCCAAGTCATTTGACTCAGAGCATCCAGTCTAGCCCACTGCGTTTGTTAGTGACCATATCATCACATACAATCTAGGCTGTATCTTCTAGGTATCAGGTATCCAAGTCTTCTGAAACCATCTTGGGTTAACTGCTAGAGGCTTTGGGAATTCTGTCAGCCATAAGCTTAAAAAATACTATCAGCAGACTTCTGACAAGATTGAGAGCCATAAGGATTGGTTGTAACTGAATAGAATTTAATAGCAGTAGTAAAAATCTATCAAGACAGAGCCTTTCCTATCCTGTCTTAAGTAACTTTGGCAAGTTGTGTAGGTAGAGAAAAGCACATTTTTGTATTAGCAAAGAAACATTTGGCTAGGACCAGAATAAGAAAGCTGGATCTCATGGTTAGTGGGGGGTTGGGCGGCCGCGGCAGCAAGGCGAGACCTCCTGCTAGCTCCGGAAGTCTGAAGTCACTGCCCAGTGACTCTGGCGGCTAGAGTCTGAGTGGGCAAGGAAAAGCAAGCATGTCCCATATCACAACAACATTCATGTTAGTTGTTTTTGTAGCAGAAGGCACCACTAGCACTCACTTTACAGGTCTCAGGCAGAGAGGGAGAGGAAACATTTAGGTGAAAGACCAGGAGTTAGGACTGGACATCCATACATGAGTTCAAAAGGTGAAATGAGGAGAGGTCGCTTGGGAAGGGCTCCTAGCATGAAAAGAGTCCGAAGTAGGAGTTTTACCCAGTCAAGGTGAAGTTCCTGTGACAGCTTGACAAGAATGGTTTTTAAAGAGCAGTTGGTTCTCTCTACCTTACCTGAAGATTGAGGATGATAGGAGATATGAAAATGCCAGGGGATGTCTAGGGCCTTAGATAGAGTCTGAGAAACTTGGGAAGTGAATTCAGGCCCGTTGTCTGACTGGAGGGAGGCAGAGACACCAAAACAGGGGATGATCTCTCTGAGGAGGAGATCAGAGACTGTCTGAGCCTTTTTGTTAGTAAAAGCCTCTACCCAGCCTGAGAAGGTGTCCACCAAGACCAGGAGGTACTTGACACATTTTACAGCAGATATGTGGGTAAAGTCAAGTTGCCAGTCAGTTCCAGGAAGGGAACTTCTAGCCTGATGGGTAGGAAAAGGGGTGCTATGATACCTTGAGTTGGGATCTGACATCTGACAGATTTTGCAAGAAGCAGTGATAGATTTTAGGAAACTTAAGTTCTCAGGAGTAGGCTGTAGGTGGGTCTTAAAGAAATAAGACAGCACTTGGCTGTTAGGATGAAAGGGTTGGTGATATGAGCAGAAAGGGCCTGTGCCTCCACCACCCTGATGTCTGACACTATGGCATAGCCAGCTTTCCTGACCCCTTCATGAAGAAAGGAGCTTCCATCTGTATACCAGGTAAAGGTGGCTTGAGGCAATGTGCCCTCCTGTATGTGTGAAGGATGAGGCAATAGTTCTTCTAAGGTTTCAGTACAGGAGTGAGATAGAGAGTAGTCAGTGTTAGGTCAGGGAAGAAGATTGGAAATATTAAGAGGTGGGCATGATTGAAAGGTGAGAGTGGAGTCTACTATTAGGGCTACCTGAAGAGAAAGAACCCTGCAGGGAGGTAGAGTCTGTAAGCCTTTATAAGTTAGGAGCTGTGACAGGTTGTGAGAAGAAAGGACAGGACAGCTATAGGTGATCTCAGGGTTAGTTTCTTTGATTCTCAAATAAGGAGTTCAGCAGCTGCTAAGGTACAAATACAAGGTGCCCATCCCTGGATGGTTGGATCTAGTCTTTTTGACAAGTATGTTATGGGTGCAAAAGATGGTCCCAGTTGGTGACCTAAGGCTCCAAGGGCAAATCCCTCTTTTTCAGTTATGTAGAGGGAAAAAGGACGAGTCAAGTCCGGGAGATGTAAGGCTGGGGCCTTAAGGAGAGCCTGTTCGAGCCTTTGGAAGGGCTTAGTGACAGGTTTGAGAAGAGGTTCGTGGGTAGGCCCTAATGCTGCTTCATGTAAGGGACGAGAAAGTAGGGAAAAGGAAAGAATCCAGTAATATAAAAAGCTAGCCATTCCTAGGAATAATAAAATCTCTTCCTTTGTAGAAGGAACAGTTAGAGACTGAATCAGGTTCTTTCTATCTAAGGTAATAGGTGTGGGTTGGGGTAATTTCTAGTCCCAAATAGGTGACTTGAGGAGTGGACAGTTGGACTTTAGAAGGTGAGACCCTGTAGCCCCGAACTGGAAAGGAAATTTAGAAGAGCAGCTGTGTCAGCTTGGCTAATTTTGGGGGGTGGGGGGTACAGAGAAGAATATCATCTATGTAAAGTACAATCTTAGATCTAAGGAGAGATAAAGAGATTAAGTCAGAAGAGATTAAGAGATTAAGTCAGATGTGGGCTTTCCTGGAATCCCTGAGGTAGAACAGTCCAGGTAAGTTGGGTAGAAAAAGTGGGTGTCAGGATCTGTCCAGGTAAAGGCAAATATGTCCTGTGACTGGGTGTCTAGAGGGATAGAGAAAAATGCATCCTTGAGATCTAGGACTGAAAAATGAGAAGTCCCTGAGGGGATAGTAGAGAAAAGCGTATAAGGGTTAGCTACGATAGGATGGAGGGGAACCACTGCAGAGTTAATGCGCCTGAGATCTTGAACCAATCGATAGGTACCATTAGGTTTCTTAACTGACAGTATAGGGGTGTTAAAAGGGGAAGAGGTAGGTCAAAGGAGTTTTTTCCTTAAGAGGTCAGCAATGATAGGC